GCGTGAATACGAAACGAGAGACAGGGACACCTCGCCAATCCCTGTTTTGCCCTTCACTGCTATTTTCCTTTTTGCGACTGAAATTCAGAATTTCAGCAAGATAAAACAGATAAGAGAATCTGGTGTTAATCCGGTTGAGAATGTGGTCTTTCGGTTTTTAATTTCATTACTTTTTCGTGTCTTGAGAGAACTTGCAACATCAAATAAAACTTTTGCAACCACTGCACACACGTGTATGTATATATAATTTTAGAATCTACCTTATTCTGCTAACATATCCAGTTGCCTGAGAATATTTTTAATTATTTAACAATATGTATAAATATTATATATGCTTAAATTAGTTTAATCCAAGAGAAGCTATTTTTTTAATTTCTCATCTGTCATATTTGTATTATATAAAAAAAAATACAATTTTAAATTAGTATTTCGGCACGATGATGAATCTCGTGCATATATAATATCTTTATAATTAAAAAAGAAACATTGGTTAAATCGAATAATAAACTCGAAAAATTGGTATAGCCACTTGAACACCCAATAAAATAGTTATATCAAAATAGCAAAGAAAATTGCAAAATAGATAGATGCAAACTACAAATAGAGAATCGACATTGAATATGATTTGGATTCATCATGCAGGCGATATGTCGGCTCCTGTGCTGATTTAAACGTTTGACTTTTTCCATCGGCTTTTTTTTCCACGCAAAAGCATTTGTAACGCAAGCCTGCGTGCACACACGCGTTGAACGAGACTCGACGCACGTAGTTTAGTCCGCGCATCGTCGACATGCGAAAAAAGCGCGCTGAATAAACACTCCTGACAGACGTGCTTGTAACGAGTTTAAAATCTAACGATATCCCATCCGTTTAAAACACAGCCGACGCTTGCCTGCTATCGAATCTGTACAACGGAAATTTTGATACTCGTTTTGTATTCATTTTTACCTATTAACTGATATTGATATGCTCTTTTTTCTGCCTGACGAATAGTCTGCCCCACAAAGCAATTGTTGATTGTTCGTTTTTAAATCGTGACATTTATGTCATTGAGTAGCTATCATATATTATATTTTTTTTTTGTATAAACAACATAATGTATTTAGAAATTTGTTCGGCAGCGAATGTGTTGTACATATCATTAAAGCGATTGCTATAAATAGGTTAAGAAATAATATCAAATTAAGAATAATGCAACATAAATAATAAAGAATGTTATATACAGTTATAAGAAAAATTCAGTTTTGTCGCATATACGCGTTTTTTTTATAACATATCATCTGAATTTTATTCTCCACTTTGAGATTATCGCAGTTGAAAATAGAATAATTTTTTTGGACTGCGTGTAGGTAGGAGCGCTCAAGTACATCTTTATGAAAACTGATATATTAAATATTTAGCAGAAAATATTGATGAGTCAGAGAGAGCCTATTTAAACCCTAAACATCGGCAGATCTTTGCCTACCCTCATACCAACAGATGAAGCGGAAGACGAGACGAAAGTTCGCCAACGAGGAGTAAGTATCACGACGAGGGTGTACATAAGGAACTCATATACAGCCACAGGAGTTTTGGTATGGAAGGTTACCGCGCCGGCAGAGGGCGGAAAAGCGCAGGAATAAATCCAAACAGTAAACAGAGCGGAGCTTGCGGAGAAACGTTCGTGAAAATTCTAATATATAAAAGATATGAGAGACCGCGCGCGAGGGGGTCGAACTCGAAGGAGTCTCCGGGATTCAAATAAGTGGCGTTACACGTAGTACCCAGTGACGAGGGGGAAGGGAGGGAAGAGAAAAAGGGGTGAGAGCAAGGGTCGAAGGAATCTGAACAGCTAACAACAAGCGCAGCATCCGACCTTTATTTAACCTTTTCTTAAAAGAGTCTTAGGAGTCCCTCTTATCTGCAGTCGATGGCCCTTCAGTGTTGGCCCTTATACTTTCATTCTTCCGTACTCTTATATCTTTTTCCTTTGCCTTCCCCTTCTCCCGTGTACACACATCAAGCTTCATCGTCTTTTTCCCATGTCCCCCTCCCGTTTTCCTCCCTGAAAAATTTTTACGCTTTCGCGACGAATAACGAGAATTTGCTATCCCTTTCCGCGTTGTGTCTCGCGGTTTCAGTTTAAGATTCTCTGTTTCTTCATTAAGAAAGACGCGGGGTTGGCATTAATTAATAAATTAAAGGACGTCTGTGAGGATCGCGGATGAACCCAAGTGGATTAAAGTGGATACAGTTCTGCCAATCGTCACATTTCATTAATTTTGCGAACAAACGACGTCTTTCGCAATTTCAATATAAATATTGGTGCTCTTTAATAAGTTGCGAGTGATTTATATATCTACAGTCATTTATATTATAAATCTTAAGTGCGCTTTTCACAAAAATGAAGGCAAAATAGAAAGAAAAGATAGAAAAAAAAAAATTTACAATCTTGTTTGCTTGATGTACATGGGAAAACTTGCCGAATATTGTTACGTTTTTACGTAATTAGGGGAGATAACATTATCAACAACTTAAACACCGCAACATGCACATTTATTCGTGTTATTTAGTAACTAATGTGAAGTATTTAAAATAGAAATTATGAATTGTGCTACACAGTGGATGTTATCAATACGCTTAACGATAATCAGATGTTATCAATACGTTCAATGATAATCAGGATATTCTGCATGAATCTTAATTACAATTATGTGAATTACAAATTGAGCAGTTTGGCGACGGCGTAAAATAGAAACGTTAAATTTGACAATAAAGAGGGAATTACAATAACGGAAAGAATGAATTAACAACGGTATATGTGCAAAATTCTGCGAAATATGATGTACCCTGTCTTCTGTTTTCTTTCGTCACCTCCTGACTCTATCTCGTCCCCTTTTCTTTCTTTCCTCTGCTTCAGACTTCGGCCCGAAACGCCATGCGCTGACGCTCCTGACTAAACACTGATAACGCGCGTCACGGAATTTCTTTGCATGTTATAAACATACATAATCGTACATAAATAAGATTAGCATAGGACTCAGAATGCTGGATTTGCAAGAGACACATAGCCTTCCGTTCAAGAGACAATCGTTTCGTGAAGACAAACGTATTTTAAATTTATCTCGGCCAACGTCTTCGATAACTGACGGGACACCTGATTTAGAAAGACTAACTGATTAGATCCTATAAACTTTGTTAATTATTACTATAAATTGTCATTACTTGTGCATCATGCCTAGATGATATAAATAAATTAAACTATAGATAGTAATCTTGTGTTAATCATATTTTTGCGAATTAATTGAACAATTTATTAACCTAGGCATCTAAATTAATAGCGATTGAGCGAGAGCCAATTATTTTATTTTATTAGATTTATTATATTTATGTTTATTATAGTAATATAAATATATTTATATTAATATAATATTGTTATAATAAATATAAAAAATATATTTATATTTATTATATTGATATACAAATTTATGTAATTTTATATAATCAAATTATAAAGAAAAGAATTTTATAATAAACATACTTATAATATGCGCACACGACACGTATCGGCAATTTTGTATTATTTGATATTTTAATAATGCTAAATTTGACAAAAGCTTTGTCATGTGCACTAAAGACGAGGAAGTATTTTCGCGAAATAAATATATCGAGAAACGCACACGAGTACTTTCGACAAACTGTTTTGCAGTTCTGTTGCCTGATAGATCCTTGAGTTGATAAATATTTGCACAAGCAATGTGTCTGGAGACACGTGTGTTTGTGGTAATTACTTTGTTGCGTGACGATTGTTTGTTATGCAATTCGGTTCCGACGAAGGCACGAAGTGCAAGGCCAATGGATAGTTGAATTTGAAATATTTTTAAGCGAATGTGCTTTGTACTTTTTTCACTTGTTATTGTGTAGGTGATATAACATATATTTAAGATAAGTGTTTACAAAACCAATAATTGATTATAGCAATATGTAATTCAAAAGATAAATTGCCCTCAGTTTTATTATGACGCGATTTAAACATCGTACATTTATGATTTTTTACTATGAGATACTTGTATTCATAGGAAAGATACTGATGAATAATATTTTGTTGGATATTTCGCGAAAAACAATTTAAATTACACGTTATCGAAAAGGGTAATAAGAGCAAAAAACGCGATTGTTAACTATAATTAAGTTCTGTTTGAAATAATAATTTACTATCAAAAAGTGTAATTTTAGTAAATTACCATATTAACTGCTGCTAAATTTTAAAACTTAAAATTTCGTCGGAAGACGGCTAGGTAAGACCTACCACAAACATTAAATAGTTATTTTCATGGCAATACGGATCTTAAGGTTATAAAGGATAATAAATTTCTCTGAGAGAACGTTGTTTCTAATATCATCTCGTTATATCATACAATAACATAATAATGGAAAACGTGTCGAGACATCTAGAACGCTCGAAAGTTTTGACTCTCGATCATACCTCGTAACAAAAAGTGCACGCGGAGAAGAAGCTGGGTGCTTTTATTCCGTCTTTACACTCGACAATCTGCTTGATGATAGAACTTAATAAAACAAATCCCGCTGTGTAAACAGTCGAGGAGACTCGAGTTAACGTCATTCAGACAACAGTGAGTTTTCCTTCAAGCCAGCCAATGATGTCGGAGCGAGCCGCGCTGGGCTTGCTCGAGTACCATTAGATAAGATCAATATTATTCAAAATACGGTACAAGTTTAACGCCTGTACATTATGTGATATTTATATCATGAATATTCCATCTAAAGCTGCCCTTTACTTTCTCCCGCGTCGCGCTATCTCCCTCGTGGCGATTACAACCCTTACCTCTTATTTTGAAAATTTACCGCTGCGTAAATATCGCTGATTCAGATTTGTTTAGGTTGTAGCTTTTCGGCTTCTTGGTTGATGTTTCCCAACAAACTATCATCGCGACTTCTTTTCATAAGGCAGCTCGCAACAGCCTTTGATCGAGTCTTCGATCTCTATTTTCGTATTGCAGGCTACTTCGCTGTTCGCAGCCTTGAAGCAGCAACAACAGCAATCGCGCGACAGCGTCTTCTCATCGAGGGACCGCGAGTGCCGCGACCGGGATCGTTTGTCTACGGCTCGCAATCGTGACTCCAGCAGGGGCAACATAGTGGAGACCGGAGGCGGAAGCGGCGTTGCTGATCAACAACAGCAACAGCAGCAACAGCAGGATCTCGGTATCGAGTACCAAAGCAATGGGAAGCTCAGTCCCGCCGGACACGCAGTGACAGCAGCACCCATGACCCAGCAAAAGCAACCAATCATCACGCAGCAGTCGCAACAGCCCAGTTCGGGGGCACCAGGGCCCCAACCTAGTCCACATCAGAGCCCGCAAGCCCCACAGAGGGGTTCACCGCCGAATCCCTCTCAAGGTGCGCCACCCGGTGGCCCGCCAGGGGCACCACCATCGCAGACCTCCTCGCAGATGATGCTCAGCTCGGCGAGCGGTCTCCATCAGATGCAACAGCTGCTGCAACAACATATACTCAGCCCCACGCAACTGCAATCCTTTATGCAGCAGCATACATTGTATTTGCAGCAACAACAACAGCAACATCATCAGGTGAATTCCTTTGTTTTTAGTTAATTTCTCCAGCTTTATGAGTATTTGGTAATAGAGCGTGCGTTGTATTTAACTCGATCAGAATGTAATATATATGTGTATGTACCTCTATTGCATTTTTCATGGAAAATAGAACTTTTAAATTCTATTATGTTATGTATTATACTTCTTATATTTCTTAGTGCAATCTTGTTTTTAGAAACATTTCGACTATTGTGGTTGTATAAGCGCCGCTCTTGTGTGGTTATTAAATATTATCGTAAATAATGATGAATCAATATATTCTTTGGAATCTCAAAATGTAACATCATTAATTAGTTTTAAATTAATTTTTTGTGTTAGTATTTATATTAATTTTTTTATTTATATAATTTTGCAATGTATAATATCAAAACTTTTACTTTCGATTTATTTATTTCTTTATTGGTTTAATTGCAGGATTCATCTTCCGATCATGCATCTAATCAGGAACGATTTGGCTACTTCTCCTCTTTAAAGAACGTAAGTGAAATGTCTTTCCTGATAGCACACAAAGATCTCAGAGACATTTCAGAAACGTAACATTGAAACCTTTGAAACATTTAAGTAATGTTCCGTAAGGTTTTTGCAACGTCCCGGGTAGGTTGCAGTAACGTCAAAATGTCCGCTTAGGTTAAATTTTGTAATCTTCTAGAAAAGCAGCGATCTTACAAAAACACTATTGAAACATTACAGAAACATTTGTGAAATACCATTGCAACCTAACAGAAACATTGTTGAAACCGCGTGGTATTTATATATTATGATATCACAATACAAATCGTTAAGTTTAATTAAAAAGATTAAACACTATAAAGTAGAATCGTTTACATATCTTATTTTTATTCGAGGACATATTATTAAAATAATATATGAATATATATGAAACACCAGAAAACCACAGAAAACACCGGATCGTGTTGGTCATGTTTGCCAGTTACTATGGGCGTTATTCATAGTCCGTTCTTATTCCAAGATTATCTTAAGTACTGTCTTTGGCTTTCTGATTGGTTCATAACATCTTAAGATCATACTTAAAACAATCTTAAATATAAGAACGGATTATGAATACCGCCTTATATGCAGTAAAAGACTACGAAGCACGAGGCACAAGACTGATTGCGCAAGCTAATGCACATGCGCAACGAATGACGCATTTACATTTCAAAAGTAGGTTGCAGGAACCTTTCATTTGCAATCATTCAATAAATTAGGTTGCAGGACCCTAACTATTGCAATGTTTCAATAAAGCAGCTTGCAGGAACATTCCAAATGAGATGCTATAAATATGAGACATTGAGACATTCCTGCAACCTAACAAAAACCTTGAGTGCTGTCAGGGTTGTTTCATATGATATAAAATTTACAGCTCAGAGAGAAAGAGTTTGTATATTACACTATGGAGTGAGTTTAACTGTTAAAGTAATCAGCAATGTGATATGAATTTGTCACGGCTAATATGCTTTCGTTATTTTACCCTTTCTGTCGATTATCCTTTATATTAAGTGTCATTAGTTTCATCAATAGCGTTCAATAGTAACGTTAACCGATTCAGAAAGCGGTAAAGTCCTCACTGCGAAGGTAATAGTGATAGATTGTAGGTTCTCATGCGATAAAATTTTTTTTTTAACGCGAAATAATTGTTTTACAGCATTTACTTATTTCTTAAAACAAATTTGTCGTCTTTTAGAATTTCTATTCTTTATGAAAGGATATATTACATAGAACTCGTACAAAATGCGCTTTACGACGCAAATTATAACTTAATGACAGAGTATTAAATTAAATTCTTAATTGAATGAACGAAACAGAAACATGAGATATTTTTGCGAGGAAGCTAATCTTAAAAGAGGTTTTAAATTTCGGTATACGCGCAATTCGCGGTCGACAGGACTGCCGAGAACTTGGATGCTTAAGCGAGAGGGTTGATACTCTGGTCTGTGTAAACAGGTAGTCCCTTCTATATCGTTACAATAACAATACACGTCGCACGAACCACTTTTGCTATCCAGCCGCAGTGTTATCCTGGCGCCTACGATCCAATAAGCACTTTGATATTCTTTTTCAAAAATACCAATGCATACAACGAGACAATAAATATTTTTCATGGCACCGCGTGGTTTATTATAGCAAAAATTATTTTTCAGAGAAGAAAGTGTATATCATACTTCAAATTGGAGATTTGTATTATGTTTTTTACTTACAATTAGTCACTTTCGAAAGATTATAGATTGATACAACTGCAATCTTAATTAACCTTATTATAATTTTTTATCTCAATCTCTAAATTCTGTCATTGTTCGTATAAAATTTGATGAATAAAAATAAACGTTATACATACAAAATCTAAATTTTATTGTAGTTTAAATTGAGAATAGTCTTTTATAAATATCAATTATTCGAAAATTGCTTAAATAATATGAAAATTTATAATTATAAATTTATAATTATGAGAATATAAAAGCATAAAACATAAAACAAATATGAAGTATAGCATAAAAGGATTGTATTTAATATGAATATGAAAAATATTTATTAGCGAAATTGTGTTTACAATCATTTTAATCGTGCAGTTTTTGTTTATAATAATATGATAAAGGGTGCATAGAGGTACCTTAAAGTTTGTTTTAAAATATCCTCGAGGCGCACGAGAGACTGAGAAATGAAATAGACAGAGGGGATTTATTCTAAAGGGTGAAGTAAGCAATTAAGTATCGCCATCAGCCATTGTGTCTCGTTGTTTGTCTTTGAGATACCCATCAATCGCCCTTTATCTTTTCGCTTTCTTCGCGCCGCGAATTATCTGCGTCTGTGATTTATTCATCATTCCAAGACGCAAGTGCCGTCACCTTTTTTTCCTCTCCTTTTTATTCTAGTTAACTAATTTGGCAAGAGCGAAATATTTACTTCTCTGACGTTTAATAATAAACCGCTAATGATACTGTTTAATTCATAATTGTTTCGATCTTTTTATCGAGGGATATCCTAAAAAATTATGTGATACTTGCTATAATTAATACAATATTCATACAATAAAACATAATAGGACTTTTTTGGATTTTCCTAATAAATTGTTTGCTTTTATAATATTAATTTTATATATTACAATGCTAATATAATTATAAATTTATATTTATTTTACAACGTAATGCATAAATATTTGCAAAGCAGCACCTAATTTATTTCAGCATCAGCATCAACTCGCAGAACTCAATAAGAAGCAATTGGAGCAGACAATGCAACAACTGCAGGAACAATTGCAGCTGAACTTATTTCAGCAGACGCATTTATTGCAAACGGCGGATAAGAAGAAAGCTTCGGCGCCTCTCCAACAATTAGCGATTCAGCAGCAGCAACTGATACAACAATTGCAGATTACGCAAAGGCAGTATCTGTTGCAGCAAGGATTGAGCCTGCAAGGTCACAATCCTTCTTCAGGTATTTATGCGCAGAAATCAATGTGCTTGATTGAAGATATTCTGATATGTTTTAGTAGTTAAATAGATTTTAAATATAATTATTTTACCACAGATATAAAATTAATAATAGCTATAATTATATTAGCACAGACAAAATAATTATAATTCGTAATAGCTATAATAATTTTAGCGCAGATAAAATAGTTATATTGAATAAAATTGCAATGCAAAAAAATGTGAAGCGTTCGGAATTAAAATCAAGTCTGCAATTTGTAAGTTTTTTAAATATGAAGTGTTATTTAGATGAAACTACTTAGATAGAAATTTATAAACTTGGACAATTCCATTCGTTTTATATAACAGATGAAACGAAAAATTACTCAAAAATTCGGGTTAAGACTTTTTTTTGCAATTTTTTGTTTCTAAAAAAAATATTAATTAATTAACATTAAAAATATATGACCAACCGTATTAAATAAAAGAAGGAGCAGCGTGAAGATATGAACTATTCAGAGCATTCAAAATTAGGTCTATAATTCGTAGGGGAAAATGTCCTATTGCGCAAAGTATCATTTGTATTTGTTTAAATTTTGACCAAATAGGATTGTTACAAATTTTGAAAGAATATATTTTACATTCCTTATATTGTTACTTTGTTACATCCCTGTGCAATTTGTAATAACTTTTTATTTTTGAGAAATTATAGAATTATATCTGACGCAAAATCAATTTCTTACCTCGAGTAAAAGGGTTCCTAGTTCCTAGTATGATAAATAATGAATAGGAAGTGAAATAAACTTTTAACACAATTAATTCTGCTTAAAAAAAGAAAAAAGTTCATTGCTAAACAATTAAATTACAAGCTTGAAAGAGAACATTATTTTTGCAAAATTAGAGGAAAATTAAAACACATGTTTTGAATATGAAATGAAATAGAAAGTCAACAAATTTAAGAAAGACAGCAAATTTAAGTAACAGAAACATTAACAATTTAATTGCAATAAAATAATTAACGTAATTAAAAGTAAAATACTACCTAGACTTGGAGCAATCTCTTATTACCTACCTACCCGGAATTAAAAACAAATATCTTTGTCTGCTAGTTAGTTAACATCACCTAACTCTGAATGGCAGTGGGGTATTTTTGAAATAACACATAAAAACTTTCTGACATAAAGATTATTAAAATATTTCTTACCTTGACTAAGTAGTGGATTTCCGTAGAAAATTCCGAAGAACGTTTTTTTTTATCTAAATCGCAAAGTCAAAAGCAGCGTAAATGAACGTACGCGATAGCGCTCGGCCCACAATAATTGCTAGCCCTACTCTCTTCACTTACAAGAGTCAGTTGCAGAGTGCAGCCCTTGGGAGCCAAGAAAAGTACCTACTCGGAGTTAGGAAACCACCCGGCATTCGGGCACTTTCTTCTAATAATTTTTTAAGAGGATAATTCAATTTGATTTATTGATATATTGTTTAATAATGTTTTGCACATAATACACGCGTATGTATTGTACTTGTTTCATGAGAAAATTGACGTTTCTATTATGACAAACGCTTACGTTTATGATAAAGTGAATTGTACGAGCGCATATATTTAGTTCGCGTATTGTCATCACGCTTTTAATATTCTAATATAGATGCATTGCATAAACATAGGAATTTGCATAAACATCACAAAGATCAATCGATCACGTGTCACAACAAAACACACGCATGTATTTACAGCGATGCGTGACATGCTACCGTGGGAGTCACGTGTGATCAGCAGCATGCGCGCAAAGACGAATCCGAAGGTAAGCTGATGTTGGAGGCATTTCCTTGGTTCAAATCGATATGATTCAGCATCCTGTCTAAATCCTTCCGAATCTATACGCGCAACGTGTTTGCACTCCCTTCTTTTTTTTGTCTTAATCGTTCTCTTTCTCCTTCTCGCTTTCCTCTTCTCACTTCCATCTTCTGGTCTCGCTTTCCAATTTTACCTTGGGCAAAACTTTTACGTAGAAATATTTGCATTGCGCCGATGCTTGTTCCCGCGACGGTTTTCTTCCTAACGTGTGTATATACATATACACGGATATACACATGATACATGTGTAAATTAAAAAAAACACCATTTGAAATAAGCAACCGTGATACGGCACGGTTATTTTGAATTCGAGAGTTCACGTGTGAAACAAACTTGCCCGCCATCCTTGAACCCTGCATCCAATATTTCCGCTACTCGCTTTGCCGTTTCTGTTTTCTTCATTCTTTAAACTTAACTAATTTTTCTTTCAGCCTCACTTTTATTCCATCTTGCACCATATTTTCAATCATTCGTATGCCTCCTCATCGACGCGTAGTTTCGTCTTTTGTCCGCATGTTTGCTTCACACGTAACTGCTTTGAAATATGCGCTAAACATTATTGTGCTATAAATGCTATTTATAATTCCTATAATGTCTATAAGACGAAGTTTTTTAAAATTAAAACTTATAATCTGATATTATATTATATTAATTTTTTTAAATTATAAATTTAATTTGAATTTTTTTGAATTATATATAATATTATACAATAATTAGGAAAACTCAATACTAGGAATATTTTTGCTGAAAATAAAAAATACGACGATTATTACCTTTTTACTTAATTAGTTATCAACCGGTAGTTTTTTCTAAATTTCACGCAGGTTTGCCACCAGGTGATAATCTACCATCATGGAAATCAGAGCCGTCAGACACCTCGGAATCCCATCAAAACTCCAGCGTGCCGAAATCCAATTCTGGATTGAACGGTAAAATCAAAATTTCACGCTTCTCACTTGATTTTAATCTTGCTCGTTTTTGTATTCTCATTTCCTTGCTTATATGTTTTACTTTTGCGACGTTCGTTTGCCGAACTATCGCAGGCATTCTGAATTCGATAGCTTCAAGCCGACGATCCGAGGTGAATGGCACAACGCCAATGGACGAGAAACCGCTGGACGCTTCATGCAACGACAAAGTTCACCCTCTTTATGGCCATGGGGTTTGCAAATGGCCAGGCTGTGAAGTAATATGTGAAGACTATCAAGCATTCCTTAAGTAAGTTTTTTTCTATTTTTATCTATTTAATTCTGTCATATATGATCCACTAGTTGTGTTTTAATTGACTTTAATTTAAAGAAATTAACGTTATTTGATTATTTTGATTGTTATGTAGCAAATCTTTATCAGTGTAATTAACGCAGTCAATTTTTTATTTTAATGTATTACAAAGAAATTTCATAATTTATTCAAGCCAACTATGAAAATAAAAATATCTCTTATTGCATTAAAATTGTATTAAAACAAATCAGATTTTATCACTCATGATTTGATATATTTTATCGGGACAAACTGTTTCTACAATAGATGATAAATGTTTAGAAATATCTAAACGACGCTCTAATCTTTGTGATATTTGTCACCATTTTTCATATCTTGTAAATGTCTCGTAGATCTTTCCTTTATTGAAATTTTCAAGCAAGCAGGTAAATGTGCGGAAGAAGGTCGAAGCTTGAACTCGAAGCTTGGCTTTGTGTACGCTAAAAAAACCGGTGGAATAAAGTCAGAGCAATAAAATTTGATGGGAGATGAGGCAAAGGAAGTGTAAAAAGAATCCTTCGTGTCAGCGTATCTTTTTGACATCAGGCGCTCTTACCCATCGGTTACGAGCCGCAACCACAAACTCCATCCCATCAGGGGATTCTTCGTAATCATGGAGCTCGTCGGTGCAAACTCCCTCAAACAAGCCGTTAACTTAAAAAAAAAAAAAAGAAAACGCTAATTACCTTTGTCTCATTAATATTCACGACATTCGACCGCATCGTTATGCCCCTCAGTCTAATCCCTTTCTGGCTTCTTCCCTCTCTAGTTCGTCCGTTCAAATTTCCTCGACTTTCCCGCATCTACGTTCTTAACCGACCAGCTTGCTCCTCTTCACCCACCCTCATCGATACAGACGTCCGTTCCGCCGACGAAGAAGGATTACGGAAATTCTTAAATACGGAATTTTGTTGGCGGGTGTTGGCACCCTATTCTCATCCCTATCTACGATGTGGCAAAGCTTAATTTTCTGTTCTACCGTTTCCAGGGCGCTTTAAAGAATGGAAATGTTACGTACTCCGGATTTTTCATAGCCTTTGACGCACAGATTTTTGCAGCCCTTGCAAGATAATTGTATGCAGGGCGATTTTTATCGCTTTTCCATATTTTTTCTCGATAAACAGAGATTGCGGGTTTCAGTCAACTTTTAATGAAATGTCTCATGTCATGTTAAAGTAAAATGCTACACTTTTCAAGTTAATAATACAGATTTTTATTAGATGTGATATAAAAAATAAATATAATATTATAAAACAAAAAATAATTTAAAGTAAAATTTTCACAATTTTCAATGTAGATACATATACCACTCTCAATTTAATAGATTTATTTTAATTTAATTCAATATATATAATTTCATTGTGTGTATGCGTACATGTGCGTGTGCGTGTGCATGTGCGTGTGTATTATCATATTTTTTTAATAATTAAATTTAATTTAAAAAAAGGACCGATACATGATTACGATGTTAAAATATTAATATGTAAATATTTTAATTTTAGTTATCTCTTTCTAGTAGCAATATCTGATATCTGTAATTGTTTCAGTTAAAACTGCAAAGTTTGAATAGTAAGCTGTAATTAATCTTGAAATATTGCAGACATTTAAATACAGAACACACGTTGGACGACCGATCGACAGCGCAAGCCAGGGTCCAGATGCAAGTAGTGTCACAGCTAGAAATTCAGTTGCAAAAAGAACGAGATCGATTAGGTGCCATGATGCATCACCTGCATATGGCGAAACAAATGGCTTCCCCAGAACCACCAAAATCATCAGAGTCATCGGTGAGTTCTCTATATTGTATTTACAATTTTCTATGCATGTATTTCACAATATACCTTTTTATTTAACTATTTATTATAATAAAGAAATACGTAATATGTAACTATAATATCAATTTTTTTCGTAATAATTTAACTTTTTACAAAAAGATATTTAAAATTTATATTAATTTTACTAAATATTTCATTTCTTGACACTGTATTACTAGAGTTAAAAATTTATAATTAGAATATTTATTATATCAACAAAAATAATCTATGAATACTACTGTTATTTTTGTAGACTTTTTACGCACAATTTTAAAAGATGTGATACGTACATTCAATATGCAAATTCAAATATTAATTATTGTAATATCACGAAACTTATATTTGAAACAAGAGAAAACTTTCATCTTTAGCTACAGTTATAATATACTTAAGAGTTCTAGAATAAATATTGAAAACCGAATCTAGAAAAACTATCCGACTGCGATGCGTAAACTTTCTGCGGCATTGAAATCGTAAAGCCGGATTTTCACGAGAGACCAGCTCGTTGAAAGATTTTACGAGCTTCTCGCGGTCCGCTACAACAACGCGAGTTTCAGTTTTAACGCGCTGTCGAGTCAAGTGCTAATTTATACATAAAGTTTGCATTAATAATTCATCGGGACTGCGGTGATTTTATATCGCCTTAATTAAAACCCCTAACAAGTTGGGCAGTCGCAGAATACCAATATCGCATAGCCCTTCCCCAGCGACAACGCTCGACGGCTTAATTATTTTAACGCAGCTGTGTGTGAGTGATTCCGCTACAAAGATCGGATTGTTCGTATAGTTCATATATGTCGTATAGTTTGAATATTATCACGATATGTAATAAGATATTTATGTTGCATTAAATAGCATATTAGATATGTAAATTGCATTGTTAAGTTAATTAAAAATAAAAATATTAAATTTTTTATTATTGCTACATTATAGGTTTACAAGACCTACAAAGTTTTAAGAAATTAAGATCACAAAATTTCATTCATCATTCAAAATTTTTTGAAATTTTAAGAAAACTTTATAAGTAATTCTGCCATACCATACAAATATACGTACATATATAATTAAAGTTTTTACTTTTTTTAGAATTTTTTAATTTTACATATTAAATATTTATTTGAATATATAATATTTTAATTGATCGATTAAATATTTTAAAACTTTTTATTTTATCTATTTAATTATATTTGAATTTTTTTATTATAATGGTTAATTTGAAATGTATAATTTGATGAAAAACTTAAATGATATCCGACTTGTTATATTTATAATCTAAAGATAAAAAAAATCCATCTGACGAAAATGATTCTTTGTATACTGATACCAATTAGCTTCTCTTCGTATTACACTTATATCATCACTGCCCTCTGTCCCTTAGTTCTCCATGATTTCGTAAACTCTTTTTCAGACGGGCTCGAATTTACCAAAGTTAAATTTTTCCACTGCGCTGATGAGTCAGCCACCACCTAACTTCGGGGTCTCTCAGGTATCACCAGTATCCATGTCCGCGCTGGTGTCCGCTGTGAGGTCACCCGCGGGTGGTCAACTGCCTCCATCGGCTGGTGCTGCTCCGATGCCGCCACTTCCGACCATACCTAACATGTCTGGCTTACCACCAATGCCCAACATGCCTGGTAGTATGCCAAGCATGGCTGGTCCCATCCGACGGCGTATCAGCGATAAGTCAGCTCTTTCATTGGCAGGAGGTAAGGTTTTTCCACCATTTAATAAAAATAATAAGCGAGATAGTTGCAACATTATTGCATAACTAGGATCAATAAGGGTCAGAATCGCACATTTTGCGCAAATTTATCACAGTGGTTTGTAAACTTTGCGAGAACTCTTCCATTTAACCTGTTTTAAGGAAAATGGTTGATTGCGAATTGTTCCTAGATTAATGAGGTCGTCATTTCAATATAATTGTTAACATGTTTAAGTATTAGTACATAGTATATATAATAGTATATTTTATTGGTTTACACATTAATGATGAAGATAAAAGCTTTTCAGTTTTGAATCAATGAATTGTTTCCCTAATCTTATACTAATCAAACTTTTTAATTTACCGATATACATAAATAGAGAAACATATAAGTATAAAAAGAATCATAAGAAGATATTTTTATTCTGAGAAACATAAAGAGGTATTCCTGTCAGAACTGTTTTATCAAATAATTGTTGATTGATTAGTGATTTATATATAATTTATATATTTAAAGGAGAGAGTGAGAGAGAGAGAGAGGAGAGAGAGAGAGAGAAGAAGAGAGAGAGAAAGAGAGAGAGAGAATTGTAAATTTTTAATTAAAAAATTTTTTATATAACCATTTTCGGAATGTATAGCTTCATACTTGAGATGCATACGATAAGGGAGTGAAAGTGGATTAATATCGATAAAGAAAAGGGTGAAACAAAAAATTTAGAAATTAAATACTATTCGTAGGACTGTATGACGAGGGCACTGTAAGACGCAGAGTAGCCGTTGATAGATCTGGAATAGATATTAACGAAGGTAACGATAATACAAAATTATATTCGGAGCGAGCTTCGGAACGCCAATATAAAAAGTTTTATCCGTAATGGAACTTATTATGATAAAAAGAATTATTTTTCGCACATTATATAAGCCTGTGTATTTGGAAAGAAAAAAAGAAATATCTAAGCATTATCAAGTATATTATTGTAAAAAAAGTATATGAGATAATATGTTTAAAAGATATTTCTTAATTTTTTTTTATAAACAGAATATATTTTTGATAAACTAACGTTTTTTTAATTCTATGTAAAATTATTTTCTTATATTATATAAATTATATATATATATATATATTTTTTTTTGTCATTTCGAGGTTTGAATTATGTTCACTCCGACGAAATAAAAGAATACTAATCCTGTAGCAAGTGCTCTTTACGGTCCTCTCTTGGTCTCGTGCCTTTTCCTGTAAATTGTATCACACGCACAGATTACTTATGGTAGCGACTATGTCACGTGAAGCGACAGTGTTCGACACCTTGTTGGCGGCGTAGGACGAGCATAGGTGTAGTGAGAGAGAGGAAATTTATGTGATGAGGGAAAAAAGAGATGAGATGTAAAATAAATTCTTACATCCGCCAACTCAAACCTCTTTCTTATCGATGCTTTTGTTGTTTCCTTATTTCTTGTGCTGCCCGCCCTCCCCACCGTGTAGGGCTGCCCTACATGCTGGAGCGTGCTGGTCTTGACGTCCAACAAGGTATTGTCAAGCTACTTTCCACGCTCCCTTTTGTGGCTTAAAGATTTTCTTGCAGAAGGATGCACTTTGCATGAGCATTCACATCCTTCCTTCATCTTCACCTTTGCCTCTCCATAAAGCATCGTATTTTTTAAATTTTACTGACATTTCCTAAGACAATCAGGATCGAATATTCCATAAGAATATTCCAAAATCCCATGCAAACACTTGGGACTGGAGAATGAAACTCAACTGAATATAATTCATCGTTTTTTATTCATTTCTTTCAAACTCGAAAGAGGCAATCTATGTATTCAAAATCATTTTTATTTTTTGCAAACAAGAGCATAAATTTTAATCTAAATATAAAAAAATTAATGTTATAGTGTACAATTATCATTATCTAATAAAATAGTTGTAACACATTAAAATAAAAACTGAGAATTTCAATATTTAGATTGTCTTTTTCTGATTATGTAATTTTTTTGTGCACAAGCATGCATACAAATATCTCTACAATTAAAAAATTAGCATTTTTTGTAATAAATATCCTATTTTTTGGTAAGATATTAGGTTGTCCCAAAAGTTCTTTTCGTTTTCGTATTAAAAATTAAATACTCAATCTTTTATGAACGACACAATTTATTAAAGTATATACGAGCCATTCTGCTCTACCACCTTTCTCCATCTCTCCGAAAGCCTCATGATGCCATTTTTCCAAAATGTCTTTGATTTACTGGCAAAATATTGATCGAGGTGATTTTTTATGTCATTCAAAGAGTGAAATTTTTTATCACAAAGAGAATTTTTTAAAGAAAGGAATAAATAGTAATCAGGAGGAGCGAGGTCCGGAGAATAAGGAGGATGAAGTAGAACATCCCAATCAAACGACATCAACTTGTTTAGAACGGCCAAAGAGACATACGGCCTAACGTTATCGTGATGGAAGACAACGCCTCGCTTATTAATCAATTCCGGACGTTTCTTGGATATCGCAGCTTTAAGTTTGTCGAGTTGGGAGCAGTATTTTTCAAAATTAATGACTTGGTTGAATGGAAGCAATTCGTAATATACCACACCCTTCCAGTCCCACCAGATGGATAGCAAAATCTTCTTTTAATGCTTAGCGCGTAAATTACGAAAAGAACTTTTGGGACAACCTAATAGATATATTACACATCGGTATATAACTTTTATATTAATTTTTGTCATTACTCATTATTTTAAATTCCAGAAATCCATAAGAAAAGCTCAAATTATCTTCAGAAAAATCAGAAAGTAGTTGAAAAGAAAATGTAATAAAAAATACGAAATATAGAAAGCTTTATGTGATACTATTGCTTTACTATAGCTTTACTATAGCTTTATGTGATCATATTTCAATTAAAAATGTACTAGTTTTTAATGAAAACTTAATTTAAGGAAAAATCAATTTATCTAGTTTTCCGAAATATTGATAAATGCTATAAAAAATTTGCACAATTTGATTCACTCGACGTTTTAAAGGCGGGATTTTATTCTAATTTCGTGATCGGCATAATGTTTGCTTGTTTGTTGTGATGCTGTCCGGATCTTTTTATGCAAACAAATTATTACAATATAATTACTGTATTAACTTATTTGTTATCAAATAAGAATATTAGCTCTTTCCAATCAGCGATTTTAATAATGCAAGGTAAATGAAATTTGTTGCGTCCGGTTTCAGAAATTCAGCGAAATAGGGAATTCTACAAGAATGCAGATGTCAGACCACCGTTCACGTATGCATCTTTAATTCGGCAGGTAAGTGGTTAATATAATTACCGAAAGATCTTTCGAATATCATGTACGTTTCGTTATCGTATCACATCAATATTATTATGAGTTCTTGTAAGGACTTTCTCTATTAATGTGGAACAGTTTTGAATGCAGCGTACTGTTATTACTTGTATTTTAGCTATTTTCTGAGAATATATATTGAAAATTAATTTTTAATTGATTTAAGCTAAATATAATTAAGTTTTATCAAAACTTAATTATATTAATTAACTTAATTATATCATAATTAAATTTTGATTAAATATTGTATGTTATTGTTATTATTATTTAAATACAATAAGATTATTTTTTTATTTATTAATTTAATTGATTGTATGTTATTAAAGAGTTATAACCCACTCCAAAATTAGCAAATATACAATAATATAAAATTTAAAAAAATTTTTGTGAATGAAATGATATTACATAAAACATACAAAAACATACAAAAATTCATTGTTTGTGATTTTACTGTCTTGATTATATAATTTGCCGAAAAGCATAGGAGAAGTTAATATAATTCTAAAATTGCTCTTTCCATAGTCTATCATCGAATCTCCCGAGAAGCAACTGACGCTCAACGAAATTTACAACTGGTTCCAAAACACATTCTGCTATTTCCGACGCAACGCAGCAACGTGGAAGGTACATTTTATAATTTCAGTAGTACAATCGTCTCAAAGCAACGAAATTAAATGACAAATAGATAAATAATAGCTTTTAATTTGAGTTTTAATTATTCGTTTATAGACAAGAGATATAAAAAAAAATATTTAAGAATTTTTCTAGAAATTCGTTTAAATACTTTTTATTTTTTCTATTCTTTTATTTTAAAAATCCAAATATATGTATTTTAAACGCAATTATTTTAGCAGGAAAATTATCAACAAAATGAAAGTAATTCTCCGTTAACTGGATGAACTTAATATTAATCGGCTTGTGCTATTCACAAGCATAAAATAACCAAGCAATTTGTATTTACGAGCGAATTAAACTGAATGCGCCTAACTAGGAAGGATGAAAGCTTTCGAGAATTACATATAATTACATATATTGATTTGAATTAACAGGCTAAAAGTGACGTGCTGGGCAGAGCAGCTGGTAATGATAGTTATGTTGCCTTCTTGAATAACGGGGTTACATAGTAACATGTGAAATATGACGTATTACGAATTATTTATGAGCCATCTATCATTATATTCTTCCTTATTTTCCTTCGATATCGCGCAGCAATGCACTAATTAACTGATACTAAACTAACAGTCTAAATTTAAATAGAATCCATTATTAAAAAATTCTTATAGATGATTATTAAAACATAACATTTTTATAGACATATTACGTTAATTGTCATTGCAAGTGAATTATTATCAATTTATCTGAAAGAGAAATTGCACTTTATATTTGCAAAAGCATATTAAATAATAGCAAGAATATATAGAAATTTTACATATAAATTGTTTTACATTCTATTATGAATTGAACATATTGCGAATGAGTACGATATGTGAAAACATTATTTTCTTGATTCAAAACCAATCGGTAGAGTAAAATTGTTGATTAAACGACGTATATCGATGTAACTAAAATAAGTACCAAAATAAATAGGTTTCATATTCCTGAGGAATTTGAAAAATAAGAAGTATAACATACTGATGGTTCATAATCGATTTGTAAACTGACATGACAATCCGCTTGTTGGTAAGAGTGTTTGCGCGCGTGCATTTTTTACGTGTGTGCGAGTGCGCGTGAAAGTAATTGACGTTTGCCATGACGCTTCGCCTCGCATGGTTATGTGTACATGAAAACATAAGAATGTAAACAGGTTTGTGTACCAGGTGGAAAGCAGAGCAGCGAAAGAGGCTCACACGCTGAGGCGACTATGGACAGCGGCTGCATCAATTTTATTCGGCCCTGCGGCATGAATAATTGTTGTCGTTGCCCCTAGACTTAGATGATTAGCTGTGCATTAACGATAAAGGAATGCCATAAACCGTGTCTCTTTCGATTAATAATTTTGGTTCGTTATGTTCATCATCTTTCGGCCTTTGACGCCGCGATTCATTGCCGGTTTACTCTTGTGCTAACAGCAATCATCACTATTATTATCATCATTCTCGTTCACCATCGTCACCATCATCGTCATCATCGTTATTGTCAGCGGATATCGCGTTATAATTATTGATTATCAGTTAATTAAATTTTCTGTATTTATTATTGTTTTGTGTATGTAACGCGCGATACAAATTTCTGTCCTTGTTAGCTGCCACCTAAATCATTGTTCTTTTTCGAAATAATAAAATTAATGTAAATTGAATGTAACTGCACTTATGAAGATAGATAAGTAAAATGCCATACAATTGCACTTTCGTAGTGATTTGTACCGCTTACTTAATATTCTTCATTTACATTAATTTGCATTAGTTTGCATTATTTTGTTCATTTGCTTAGCACTTCGAAAGCTCTTTTTACATTCTAAGAATATTTATCCGGAATATTAAGCTGTATTAAATCTGGAACTAAACTTTTCCAATACAATGCTGTCTTAACAAAAAATAAAATCGATGCAGCAATTTTTAAGTTTGCGATGAAAATTTAAATTTAAGGTGGCAGCTTTGCTTACATTTTTCAAGAGTGCTGAATTGTCTCCATCTTTGAATGATAAAGACAGAATTAAACAATTCAATTTTTATTCTTAAAGTATAGATTAAAAATGATTATTTTTTCGTGCAATTTGTATTATACAACATAAAAAAAACATTTTGCTTATTTAAGTAAAATAGAGTATTTTTAAGAATATTTTTCTTTGTTTAATATATTATTTTATAAATACATGGAAAAAAATATTTATGTATAAATAAATTATAAAAAATTATTTATGCATATTTATATTTACATACATATTTGCTTATACAATAAATATGTATTTCTTTCGCATCTTCAAAGATGGATGACATTCAAGTTTTCAAGAGCAGCGTTGTTGAATAGGTCATTTTAAAATTAATTTACATCAAGATCGTAACTATAAAAAGTGTTATTGGTAATTAAACAAAAGAGCAATATAAAATCTAGATTAACATCAAGAGACTGAAACTGTTCGTACAAAAATACAAGAGATAAATAATAATAACAAAGTATTTGCAAATTCAATTGTAAGTTGACATGACTTTTCGTCATGTAAAAAATACGAAGATAGTATGACGAGATTGTATTGTTTGTCTCAAAGTTATAATTTCTTATAATTACATACCTCTCCTTTTTACGTTTTTATCAAAATTTTAATTCAATAAATTTTATTAGTGCGGCACAAAATATATATAATAATATTATCTAATATTAAAAATATATTTATGTATCATAATTATCTGAAATATACATTAGTGTAAAAGAAAAATAATAAAAAGTAATATTTAATCCAAGTTTATTATTACATATGAAATAGATATTTTTCAATTTTGTGCTCGAATATTTAACAAGATCGTTCACAACGCTGCTCGTTGGCACTTTAACATTTCACAAATCACACGGCACACGCACAATATTGCGCGACTCATTTAACGATTCCACCTCGCGATCTCACGATCATCATCCATCTTTGTTTCATCAACATGACTGGTCATCGTCACCTGATGTCGAGGACACTCGGTCACCTGCATAACCAAAAGCCCGAGACACACACACGCGTGCGCGCGCGCGCGCATCATATCCGCCACGAATGACCGTGATCCTTTCCTTCCCGCCGACTACTGGAACCGTGATTGAGTTGGCTTCGTTCGTTTTTTGCGTTGCTTATTTAGTCTGTGTATTATTTTGTATAGAACGCAGTGCGACACAACCTGTCTCTCCACAAATGTTTCATGCGAGTCGAAAACGTGAAAGGGGCCGTATGGACGGTGGACGAAGTGGAGTTTTACAAGAGACGCCCACAGCGCGCTTGCAGTACGACTGGGTACGTTGCCCCTCCCCATGTCCCATCGATCAGAAAAAATAACTACAAACGCGCTTTTTACTCTTTTTATTCTCTCTCTCTCTCTCTTTCTCTCACATCAATATATCTTATCACTTTCGGAGACGGAACTGAAAGCACATCCTTTTCCTTCTCTCGATATGTCGAGGGATCGTTTCTCCGGATTACAAACTTTCCTACAACTTCCCATCATGTTCCACTAATCTCCTTTTTATATATCTATATTTCTCTATCTTTTTACATGTGTATAAATACTTATATATTATATATATATATTCACCGATTCGCTTTTACTCTTATCATATTCATAGTTGTACCGCTAAAACTTTCCCAACCAGCCCCTTATACTACCAATTTTCTACAATTTTATATCATATTTATATGACTTTTTACATACTTTTTACATTTTTATATCAATATTTATATATACATTAAGGATATTTAATATTCTATCTTATACGTATATACATATAGCTCTTTTTATATATTCATGTATTTTTAATATATCTGTTTTATATATATATATTTGTGTGTGTATGTGTGTGTATGTGTGTTTGTGTGTTTGCGCGCGCGTGTGCGTGTGTGTATGTGTATGTGTATGTGTGTGTGTGCGCGCGCGACTCAAGGCGGGTGCACATAACAGTGCGTTCATGGCCTTCGTATGTATGTATACGCACATACACGCACGCTCTTTTGTGCATTTCTCTCTCTTTCTCTTTTTTTAATCATAATATTTGATTGTCTTCACGGTATCTACGTCGTGTTCCCTGTTTTACATCTCTTTTTATAGTATACTGTACCTGTATACCTGTTTGTATTTGATACATGCGCATTCATACGTATAGATCAGTGTGTGTATAAACCTTTTTATACACCTAACGCCATAACAATCTCTACTGTACGTCGCTTGTGTCGTCTATCTGTATGTTTGTTGCTAATATGCAGTTTCTCGAAGTTGCTTCTACAATTGATAAATAATAGTAATTATTTTTAAAACATAATTGAAATCTATAAAATCATAAATTATTCTACATTAACTTTTTTTATCTGGAGCGCATTTAAAAAATTTTTTAAATCCGAAAGCAAAGCAACATATTCACATTTTTGCGCAAGTAAATTTCTTTACGTTTGTGTTGATTAAATACTCGAGAAACTACCATCATCACTGTGTTTGAACCCGTGTGTGTGAACTTTTAACTTGCCCGTCGTCATGCGATGGTAGTCGGCAATCTGGTGGGTGCGTGGATGTGCGTGAGAGTGCGTCGCTGATGAAAGAGCCGCAACAGAGATGAAAAGAAAAGGAAAAAAAAGAGATAGAAAGAGAGTTTAGAGATGCTAACCTCATTCAAAGATGGGAATCCGTAGTACGTCGTGTGTGCTTTTATAACGAGCATGTAAGCTTTGCAGCGACTAACCCGATCGAGAATGACGGGGCCAGGTATTTGGCCAAGTCTAGTCTCGAATACCCGGAAGCCCGGAAGCGGAATTGCCCGGAACAGAGTGAGAACCGCAGTGTTGCACTTTGTCAGGTAGTGAAAGGAGCCGTCTTAGTACGTTATTACTACGTCTCTGTTTTATTTTCTTTTTTTAAATCTATCCATCCCTTCTTTGCGAATCTGTGCTGCTGTTTGTTCTCTCTAAAAGTCGACATTTTGAGATCATATCGAGATCATTCGTGCGTCTCGGCATGATAGAGTGACGGAGCCGCTGGCGAAGGACGCATTAGCGTAATCGGTGCGTCTGGGTCCTGTGAATGCGATGGCAAGGGATAACTGGCGTGCGCGTACGTGAGGCCACCCTGTTACGAAGAGTTAGCAAACAGCGAACAAGCCGAGCGGAAACTAAGAAAGAAACAGAAAAGCGAAAATGCGCAATCAACTACAAAAAAAAATCAACCAGAAACCTTATCTTTTTACTCTCTTTTTCTCTATTTCTTGGTGGTCTTGTCTGTGTATACAGAACGCGATCCGCACCAATCTATCATTGCACAAGTGTTTTGTGCGCTATGAGGACGACTTCGGTTCATTCTGGATGGTGGACGACGCCGAGTTCGTAAAGCGGCGGCATCTGTCCCGCGGCCGCCCCAGGAAATATGACCCAACCCCATCACCCACTCCACCCCACCTCTCCGCACAGTAAGCACTACCACTTTTTAGAATTCTGCTGGCTGGCTGGCGCGACGTTCTGACCTTACCGCGGTACTTTTTTTACGAACGCAGCGACCGGGACGTTTTCGCTTGGTCGTTGTCTATAAATTGAACCACTAAATGGGCTTTTCAACCTGCTGCCTTTGGAAATTTTGGCGTGTACTTACTTTAATTGTGTGCAGTGTTGCAGCTGTTACTACGAAATTGTGTTGACATTTTTTGGAGAGTAAAGATCTTCGAAGCAACAAATCCATTTTGTTATTTTATTATTTTTGTATTAAAACGGTTTTGAGAAAAAACTGAACGTGAAAAGTTTCAGAGTCCTATAATAAAGTATAGACTGGTGTGAAAATATGTCGAAAAATGTAAAAATTTTTAAAAGTATTTAATTGTTCTAACGTTTGATTTGTACAATATTATTTACTTGTATTATTAAAACAAATATAAATTTTTCCTCCACCATTAAATTAAATTAAAACAATTTCTTAAATTTTTTACTTTAAATTAATTATTATGATGCTAACAGCTGCAATTATAGACGTAGACATTAAATGTACATTTTCTATATTAATTAAATTTCATTTAATTAATTTCGAAATATAACAGTAGTATATCTTTATAGCAAAATTTCATCTATTTTAAAGCTATATTGCAAAATATTTGAATGAAATACATCATGGCAGCAGGAAGTAGCTCTTTGCAGTTGATCTAATCCCTTTGAAAATGATTTCCGCATCATGCCTGCCTCGAGTGCCTTTAAAATCCGACTCCTTAAAACTGGATAGTATTATATAGTTACCCTATTACCCTATTACTACCTTGTTCGTTTATTTATAAGAATGTGCAATATTATTTCAATTTTTTATTACACGTTTATTCTTAGCCATACAGGCAATCATATAAATATATAAACGATTTTAAATCTGTAGAAATATTATTTTATTATTTTTAAATAATTAGAAAATAATAAATTTTTAAAAATTATATTTCTATATTTTAAATTATATTTACGCATATATAGTAAATGCAAATAAAATTTTTTGCAAAAGTAGAATATAAATGATAAGATTAATTAAAGCAGTGCTCGGAATTAGTCTGAACATTTCAGCCGATTTCCGTGGTATACGCCTCCTTTCCTCTCTTTACCGCGCGCGCCGCAGCCGCTAGGGCCAGCGCCGCCGAGCGTTAGGACACTATCTGATTATGAGGTGGGTTCTTCTCCTTATTTAATTAAAAATTTAAAAATGTAATTAAATTTAATTAAAAATTAATTTTTTATTTTTAAATTTATTAAGTAGGAAATTATTCAATAGATTCCACGTCACCCATAAGATACTAATGCTGACTTACTTTTTTTAAAGTACGTTCCCCGTAGACCTATTCCACTAAAGATAAAAATAAATTCTTAATTTAAAAAAAAATATATATAAAAGAGATTTTCTTAATTAGATTTTCTTGACCTTTTATGAGAATGAACAATTGATGCAATAATGTAGATAGAAACCACTTTTTGAAAAACGTGTCAGTATTAGTACCTCATGGGTGACGTAGAAATCTATTGAAATATTTTCACTTAATAAATTTAAAAATAAAAATTTATTTTTAATAAATTTTAATAAATTTTTAAATTTAATAAATAGGGAGAAGAACCTACTCACAGAACCTAATCAGATAGTGCCGCTCCTAACGCTCGGCGGCGCTGGCCCTAGCGGCTGCGGCGCGCGCGGTAAAGAGAGGAAAGGAGGCGTATACCACGGAAATCGGCTGAAATGTTCAGACTAATTCCGAGCACTGAGGTAGAGCTCTCAAACTATGAAACATCACTATGGTTTGAACAAAATCCCAAATTAGAGATCGCTTGGACGATATTCCTCGAGGCAACTTTACGAAATAAATACACTACGAGACCAAGCAATATGGGAAATATAAATGAACGAGGTCTCATTGCAAATATTATTAGAGTAAGCGATGGCATTTTTGATTCAATACCTATTTTACCCTTCTTATTTTTTGTGTATAATTGTATTCAAAAG